TACCACAATCTCCAAAAACATGATCATTTGCTTCACAAAAACCAAAAATGGAACAAAAAGAAACAAAAGGCTCAAAGTTCTAAAGATGTGGCTTGAAAAGAAGGGAAAAGTCTCAAATGGTTAGCAAGAAGGCAAAAGGAAACCCAAGAACTAAAAAGAAAGAAGATTAACATAGAAAAGAAAAATTACAACCCCGAAAAGATGTCTTTATCCTCCGTAGATGGTTCGGTCTCGCGTTTGAGAATTATGAGTCAAGCTTCAAGATTAGGTATGCAATAGTCAAGGATCCACGCCGCTCAATTAAAATATGAAGAAGGCTTGAAAAAGAAGAAACCTCACACGGTTGTAGCAAAAACTAACTAAAGTTGTCAAATCCACCAAAGGAAGAAACTCCGTCTTACCACGAACCAAAAGAATTCGGCTTCAAAGCTCCGAAAGGTCTAAACCGCTACCTTAGCATACCCTATCCTAGAGTCAACCATGGATACTCTCAAAGCATGCACACCGATAAAACACAGGAAAGCACACATTCAAAGGCAAAATCTCGAATGGTAGTATGTCCAAATACAAGAGCTAAACAAGAAAAAAGAAAATATAGCCTCAAAATTCATTTGTTTGGTTTTGTTTCATCAATGCAAGAAAAGGAAACAAAAGAAAACAAAGGAAAAAGAAAGAAAATAAAAGAAAAGAGAAAAGCATAAGAATGTAAGCAAAACAAGTAAAACCAATCGTCAAACAAGCGGTCATTCAGAAACATTGCCAATGACCCAGAACACAAGGAAAACATCCCCGAACAATCAGCTCATCCTGAACTAAACCTATTTTATGCAATCAAGAAAGAAAAAGAAAAAAAAGAAAAAGAAGGATCTCACCGGGTACTCCAAACAATGCTAATGAATATAAATGAAAGGAAGCACAAACCTTCATGATGCTCCAAAAGCAAAAGCAAGGATAACATACCAAGAGAGAAATAGAAAGCTATATACAAAAAGAAAATGTTAGTAACTTCCAAACAAAAACACACAACATCAAATTCTGGCAAAAATGATCAAAGAATTAGAGAAAGAGAATCATAAAGCAGAGAGAAATTTCATCCATCCAGAAAACAATCAACCATCACGAAAACAAAGGAAAAGAACCAGACCAACAACATATCATCATCATCAGAAATCATCATACAGAGATCATCATCGTAAATCATCAGCAAAAAACGATCGCATGAAACAGAAATCAACATAAATCATCATCAGAATAAGACACCAAGTCAAAGACAATGCCATAGTGAACCATAAAAGCAAGGGGGAAACAAAAGAAGCACAACAGACATAAGAATATTCCCCCAAGCTTAAAGTGAGCTACCCCCCCCCAAAGCCAAAACCAAGCAGCAAGTTGGCATAAAAACAATATAAAAGCAAACGAGCATAAAGGGAGGGTAGCCAAAATGGCATCACTCAGCACTGTGGTAAAAGGGGTAGAATGAGTACTCCCCTCACCAACTCAGAAGAAACATGGCTAATGACATCATTCACATCCATAGGGCCCTTACCCTTCAACCTACTCTCCCTCGTGGCCCTGTCCCTAGCAAAAAGGTGGGACCAATCATCTAGAATCGGCTCACCCAAGAGCCCCCATCGGCCAAAAGTCTCAGGATTAGGGAATGGGTTAGGGTTAGCCGGGTAATAAGGAAAGTCACATCTTCCCGGCCTCTTATAATCGTAAGAGGTCGGAGAGGTCCCCTTAATGGAATGCGAAGGCACATTGGGCCCCTCCCAATAGGGATAGCACAATCTAGGTCCAATGGCCGGGTCATACAAGGCCCATTGAGGTACGGGTCCCTGTTGAACGGGGAGGTAAGGGTAGTTAACATAAGGCTCAATATCCCCCCTCATTACATGCATATCATAAACTTGCCTAGCATGGTAATCATAGCCTAAAACAAATCATTCCATAAAGGTGAACAATTCAATACATTTGCAATGGAATCGATCTTTGCATGGAAAATAGACAAGTCACAAGTAGAGAAAGAAGATGAAGAAGGGAGAATCAAAGATGTACCTCCCCGGGACACCGGAGGTGAAGAGGGAGCGAGAGGGACATATGGATTGTGGCGGAGATTTGGCAAAGGAGCTTTCTTGAGAGCTTGGTCGACCGACCACTTGTTTGGTCTCTATGGAAGAGGGGTGTTTAAGCATCTAGCCGTAGCCTCAGGGTGAGGGATGGGGCACCAATCTATTGTCCTGGAAACTTTCCAAACAAACAAGTTTTCTTGAGTAGTGCGCTCCAAAAATCTTTGAGTTATCAAGGCATAAATACTAAGAAGATGGGATGGATTCTTCTCTCGCCTATCACGAATGGGTTTAAGGGATTCAAGAATCTTCTCATATCTTTTATTGAGAGAGAGGATTAAGATAGTAATCATTACTCCCAATTGAATGCTTCCGGAGAGAAAAACACCATCACGAATATCGATGAAACGATCAAGCAAATGGGACACGAAATCAATGACCTCGACCTTATACTCAAAAGGCTTGTCCGCCAACTAAAGCCAACTTAGCTCTTCCCTAGAGATGGCTCTAAGAGACTCCTTAGAGAAAAATGCATATGTGAGGAGCCTACTAGAGTATCTCATGGCCGGGTGGATGATAGAATCCGACTTGAAGTATTGGGGACGATAGTTATCTTCAACTGAGATATGCCTCCACCAACGACATTCCTTATAAACATGATCTCTTTGAAAAACATCAAAAGCCGGGTAAATGTAGGGAGTACCCTCTATTGGCGAAGGAAACTTGAAGGCTTCATAGAAATAGGAGAGAGGAATCGAATGGTCATTGTTGAAAACTTGAAAAGTAAGCATTTAAGTAGTCACGCCATCCAACTTCTCCTCATGTTGTTCCAGAGATGAAAGAAAATACAAAGTGATGCAGGCATAATCGGAGCATTAAGACCAATGAATTCTTCCAACCCCAAATTTCGAGCCAAGAGTCTCACATCATCATCAATTCCCAAAGATGTAGTTGCCGATGCATCATAGAATCGGGTTGATACAAGCTTCGTAGATGAAAGACGAATGAAATTTTTCCAATGCTCTTTCTTGGTAAATTCGATGACATAAGTCTCTCTGACATTGAGCGTAGGTGGCACAACCTCCTTTGAAGTAGAAGTCCGTGCCCTCTTGGCCCGGGGAAGAGGTGCCATCTACACACAAGAAACAGAGAACTAGGCTCAAAAGCATGAAAGGAATGATGTGAAAAGATGATGTAAATAAAGAGCACACAAATTCAAGGCCATATTATTATGAAAAGAGTAAATCATCACACCTTAAGTGTATAAATGCACTTGAACATTAATGCTAGCATGAATTTATGAACTACAAATGAGAACCAAGAGAAACAACACTCCAATCAATCATCTAGAACCCATCAATAAGAACATTATTATTACCAAATACCATAACAACATATCCAACAATGATGATAACAAAATAGTAGATGTTCAAGCAAAATCAAGCATTACAAGTTCAATTATCCATCAATAAACATCATCAATACAAGTGTTGGAGGTAAGAAACAAGCAATATGGAAGCACCATTAATGTAAGTACTAAAACAAATCAAATTTCTCATGAAAAACCAAGGTAGAAAATTTATCAACAAAACCAAAAGAAATAAAGAATCATACCTTGAATTTATGAGAAATATCAATAAAATGGAACAAATAGCACAATCACACACTTTCAATCCAAAAATTGAAAACTCAAAACCCCAATCAAATAGTACCAAAAAAACTCAACTTTTGAAGAGAGAAAATCACTAGTAACGTGCAAAATTAGAGATTTTAGAGTATTAATCAACTAAAAGAAGTGAAAAATGATGATATTATGATGGTAATATGGCATCAAATAAGGTGAATATGCTAGAACACAACAAGAGAAATGAAGTAAGAAAATGGAGGAAGAGAGAGAAATGAAGGACGATACGCTTAAAAGAAGGGCCAGTAGGGGGGCGCGCCCGCGCCTCCAGGCCGCGCGCCTGCGCCCACCTAGGTCTTTTGCTCCTACGAAAGCCTCTTGTGCGCACATCGGTGGGTACACACTATATGATCATGATAAACACAAGACTAGGAAGTCCTTAAACGCCTTCACGGTGGGTTCAACACGACAATTTCATGAACCCACCATTTCGAACCCACCAAGCTTTAATTCTTGCATATGCCTCCAATCACCCAAATTGAACACTTCATCCTCAATTTTGGAAACCTTATCTCCATCCAATCAAATTCACCCTAGAACATAATTAAGAAAGAAAATCAATTAGATCAAAAGCATCAAAATAAAAAATAAAATCAAAGAAAGTAGAAAAGAAAGTTAGAAATTTGGGTTGCCTCCACTACTAGAAAATAATTTATTTGTTGCTATTAATTTGCTGCATTTTTAACAAATCGCTGCAAATTAAAACGATTTTTAAGTGTACATGAATCAAAAATATTGATTTGCAGTTTTTTTTTTTTTTTTTTTTTATTAAATCCGCTTCAAATGAATGATATCTTCCCTAGCCCTAAACCCTCATTTCCTCACCAACCTAATTCATTTCACTTTCCCCCTCGCTCTTCCAACTTTATCAACTTCAAAAATGCTCTCAACCTAACCATCACCGGCCACCGTCAAATTAATTACTCCCTAAAATCATCAACGTCACCGCCGTTTATCACTTCGAATGAGTGACCTTCAAAACCCTCATCATCACCAAGCTTTTTATCGTCGCCCGTCGGAATCGATTTTTCTCCAAGTACACTTCGGCTATGGCGTTTGTGACAAAGTTGCTGTCTTCGGATGATGGAACTGTAGTTTGGGGTTGATGGAGCTGCTACTGCTGCCGGAATCTCCCTCTTGCTCTCTCCTAATTTTTTGCTCACCAAATCCCTAATTTTTGCTCTAACTTAGGGTCGATTCTTCCGCTCGACATAGTACTCCCTTTCACCCACTCACTAACAAAGGTAATGTTATAAATCATCTCTTTTATTAAGAATGAATTTTGATTTGGTTAGTGTATGTTTTGGGGGTTTATACTTACCCTATTTTATCGTTTATTAAAACAACATCCAAATTGAAGTTGTTTACTTTTTAAAATTACTTTACTTGATTAGTTCATACTGGAAATTAGTGGTCTGTTATTGTCTGAGATTTGTTGTATTGTGGATAACAGAGGTCTCACTAAATGGTCATATACATTAAGTTTGCTAGGAATTAATAAAATAAAGTAAACCCAATTCACAGGTTTATGATTGCTTTTGTTGGGGTTTTAGTATTTTTTGATTTATAATTGTTTTTCATAGTTATTGTTCCATTTGATACCTTATTTGTAATGTTCATGTCCAATGGGTTTCTCAATTTCTACAATAGTTATTTTCCTTAGGGTGGGGTGGACATGGGGGTGATTTTTTTTGAAGAATGATTAGCATGTCGTTCGAATTACTCGTTTAATCGATCATCAGCGATTTCAAAAACTTAATCACTTTCGTTAATGAAAATGATGCCTGATGCTTTTATGAAGACTGATTTCATCACTACAAGAAAAAAGTTGATTTGCTGCAATTGATTTGCTGCATTTTTGGCAATACGCCGCAAATCAAAGTGGAGTTTATATAGATTTTAGTCCATTACCGCTTATTTTTTATTACAATTATTAATTAGCAGGGTTTTTTCCTTTGAACCGCTGCAAATCAATTGTCCTACATTTACCCTAAACCCTGCTTCCTTAGTCGCCCAGTTCATTCATTACTCTCTCTCTCCTCTTCTTCCACCTTCCTCGTTTCTCACTCCAATAATTCGAGTTCCTTACAAATCCTCGATCACCGGCGATTTAGGTTCCTTAATTATCCTCGATCATCTACGACTTGAGTTTCTCACTCATACTCACCGAGTCCTCGGTGCAGCTTTGACTCTCATCCTCTATACATCATCCATGGCTGCCGCTACCATTTACTGCATTCATCATCATCATCATCATCATCGTCTTCTTCATCAGAATCTCATCTATTATTGCTGATCCTTTTGATCGATTATCTAGGGTTTCCCAACAAAAAACCCCTTACTCCGACCAAATTATCTCGATTTCTTGAAGTGCAAGTGGCGAAGAAGGTCAGTGTTTTTTATTTCGCTAAAATTTTTGTTTCAATTGTTAATTTCCGTAAACAAATTGGATTTGAACAATCCCAAATTAAAAAGGTCATTGCTTATGTACCTTGAATCCTGTGTGCTAATGTTGACAAAACTCTAAAACTTAAAATTAGTCTTCTTCAAGACTTGTGATTTTCTGGGTCTTAATTAGTTCATGCTATAGTGGCTAATTCATTGTTGTTGGCAGCGTTTGAGTCGTTCAATCAAAGTGTCACCTACCGATCTAACGGGTTGCGCTCACCGCCACTCTCATAGTTAGGTAACTAATTGTATAAGTTGTATTTTATTTCCTTTATTACAATATACAAAACAGGGATCCCCAATTTTAGGGGAATTTTAATTTAAATTGTGATTTGGGTCTTAATTTGGACATCTGTTGCTATCTTGAATTATTATATGGTTCTAATAGTTGGGGGTGAAGGTTACTTAGTTGCATAAGAAAGTGAAGGTGGTTTTTTTGTTTAGCTAAAATGGGTTTGAGTTTGTGAAGGGATGAGGGATAGAAAAATATATATCATCTTGTTATGTATTGATTTCACATTTCAATTCCACTGCAATCAATGCTCTATTAGCACCTGCTAGTCTACTACAATGACTGTCACCCTATTATCTACTGATTTCACGATATGGTCTTTTGTATGCTTCCCTTGCTTTCTATATACATGATAAATGAAAATTAAAAATGTCGACTTACTTCTAACATTCCCGTAGGTACTAAGTTGCTATAGTGTTTTACAAGCTTCCAATATACTGTCTCTTTTGAGAAAATTAGAGATAGAAAAAGAATGGTGGTGATTTTTGTTGGGTATGTGTTTTATGTTACAAAAAGGTGGTGAGTTTAAGTTTTTATTTATTTTGTTTATAGTCTCACCGGGGTGTGGACATGCTTTTGTTCTTGTTAAGCAAAGGGAAATGACTTAACTTTATATATTAGTCAACATGATGACCATGACAATTAGCTAATTAGATTAAGGTTTTCGACAAAGATAAAATTTTTGAGCAATGTAAGAAGTAGTAAAGATAATACATGCCAGTTTCTTAGATTTGATGCCAATATATTCAAATTGAATAATTTAATACTTGTATAATGGTTAACTTTATTTTAAAAGCATAGGTGTTTCAATACTTCAATTGTAGGGAAAGGTGGAAAAGAAGTAATATGAAACTTATTAAAATCTCACTTAGTTTTCTTTGGGAGGTGGAAAAGATTATTGTCCCTTGTTTTTATCTTTCTGTGTAATTGTTTTTATCATATATTTTTTCTCACAACAAGTTAATGTGCTTCTGATTATTATGCATTTTGTTATCAGTAAGTTATAAGCCTTGTCCTTTTATATCAAATGCTAATGTTGTTTGTGCTATATTTGCTTGTGTTTGTCTTGCCGTTGCTTGTGCTGCTATTTGCCAGATGCCACTCATGGTATTGCTTATCGGATGCTGCTGATGTTGCTGCCTACTTGACGTCACTACATTTGTTTCCTCCTATAGTCCTATTGCATCTCCAATCATCGAATCTCTAAGTTTGTAATTTTGTGGAGTATGAATTTTGGGTGATTCATGTTAACATAAGGCGGCTACGCTCCCGTTGTGTCCTGTTGCATACCTTTGTTTTGGTTTTGCCCCAATTGTGTTATGTTGAGTTGCTGAAAGGCCTGTCGCTTTTCCAATGTATTTTTTTTTTAATTTTTTTAAAATGAAAGTGTAATGTAATAGTTCAGGAATTTATTTATTAATGGAAATATATTAGATTATATATTTATGCCTTTGTGTATCAATTACGATGCAATTATGATTTTTTCTACTAGTGTAAATAAATGTTTTGGTAATAAAATATATTTTTTAGTGATATTGAATTGTAGAGTTTCGAACATTAAAAAGCTAATAATTAAATTATTAAATAATTGTCAAATTTATTTATTTGCGGGGGTTTTATGGCAATAATTACAGCAAATCAATTGATTGATTTGCAGCGGTTAAATGGCAAAATCGCAGCAAATCAATCGATTAATTTGCTGCAGTTACAACCGCAGCAAATGAATCGATTAATTGATGCCCTGGCGTTTGCTGCCCCTCCAAAAACGCAACAAATGAACCTTTTTTAACCACTACAAATTAATGTTTTTCTACTAGTGCTCCAGAGAAGCGCTTAGCTTGACGTTCTCCACCCTTCAAGGTGGTTCATAGAGGGTCATATTATGAATGACTCCGACAAAAACTCCATCATAGTAAAACTTGAGCCTATGACCATTGAATTTGAAAGAACTTGGGAAATCCAAAGGAGAGATTTCAACTGCACTATTGGGGAAGACCTCTTGAACCACAAAAGGACCAATCCAGCGAGACATTAACATCCCGGGAAATAATCTCATCCTAGAGTTGTAAAGGAGCACCTTATCACCGACATTGAACTTCTTCTTCTCAATAATCTTATCATGCACCTCCTTGGTACGAGTTTTATACATGCTTGCACAGTCATATGCATCCAAACGAAGCTCTTCCAACTCATGGAGATAAAGCAACCGTTGCTCACCCGCAGTTGCCAATTCAAAATTGATTTTCTTAATAGCCCAATGAGTACAATGCTCAAGTTCGATCGGATGATGAAAAGACTTCCCATAAACCAAGCGGTAAGGATTGGTGCTAATAGGAGTCTTAAAGGCCGTTCTATATGGCCACAAAGCATCATCTAGCTTATCCGACCAATTTTTCCTATTTTTTGCGACCGTCTTCTCAAGAATAAACTTGATTTGACAATTAGACACCTCAACTTGTTCACTAGTTTGAGGATGATAGGGGAGTCCGAAACGTTGATTAACTCCATGCTTCTTCAACATCGTGCGGAAGGCACTATGCACAAAATGAGATCCATTATCAGTTATGACCGCCTTTGGAATGCCAAATCGTGGGAAGATTATTTTCTTGAACATCTTCATTTCTACATTATGATTGTTTGTTGGTGAAGCAATGACTTCCACCCATTTTGACACATAATCAACAGCAACAAGAATATATTGATTGCCATATGAAGTAGGAAAAGGACCCATGAAATCGATTCCCCATACATCAAAGACTTCCACCTCAAGGATGGGTTGTTGGGACATCTCATTTAATATTTCTGATTTTTTGGCACCGGTCACAACTCTTGACAAATTCCCAAGTATTCTTGAAGAGATTTGGCTACCACAATCCACATTGAAGCACCTTGGAAGATGTCCTAGAAACACCCATGTGACCACCACTAGGATCCGAGTGACACATCTTCAACACACTAGGTATCTCTTCATTTGGCACACATTGACGCAACAAACCATCAACACCTCTCTTGTACAAGATTAGTTCATCCCACACATAATGCCTAGCTGCAGACACCTAAAAATGTCTCCCCAAAACCAAACCCGTTGATGAACACCTTTCACCGCCATTATTGGTCGAGTTGAGTATTTAATCTTTGGATTGCTTAAATCCATGTTCTATCCAATATATTTCATGAACCAATCCAATTTCTAGCTCATTTCCCTAAACCATAACCTATTTTCCACTTTTCGTGTCCACATCGCAAAACTGAGAGAAATTGATTTTATGGCTATTAAATTTTGATCCAATTATTATTTCTTTGGATAGGCCTTCAAATAAGCTTTCCAACCATATATCATAAGCCAAATTCCGAGCTATAACGAAAAAGATATGAGCAAAACATTAAACTCGGCCCAAAACCGACACCCTTTTACTAAAACGACCATATCTTAAAATATAAAAATTATTTTGACCTGATTTTAATTGGGTTGAAAAGTAGACTTGATAAGATTTCCAATGATATATTATATGTTTTATTCCGAGTTACTGATCAAAAGTTATGATGATTTTAAAAACGCGTAAAAATTGGAATTACCGCGCAGCAGCTAAAATGCCGCGACACGGCAAGATCTGACGTGGCACGGGAGAAATTCCCGTGACACGGTAATTTGGAGGGGATTTTCATGTTTTTTAGTGCCCCGTGACTTGGCATAAGTACCGTGACCCGGCGCCATATGCCGTGACACGGTAGACTTTGCCGCGTCACGGCGTTTTTTGCCGTGTCACGGTGGGTTGCTGACGTGTCACGGTGCTTAAAACTTCCCCGCGTCACGGGGAACTGTGCTGCGACACGGGAATTACTGCCGTGTCACGGTAGGAATTCCCGTGTCACGGTGCCAGTGCTGTGACACGGGACAACTTCGTGTCTTTTCCGCGTAATCCCTTCACGCGTTTTTACTCCCGTAGGTCAAATATTTCCCGCGTCACTCTATTTTTCCCCGCGTCACGCTAATTTCCCCCGTGACACGGTAGAATTTGCCGTGTCGCGGTAGAATCTACCATGTCGCGGTAGCCTTTTTTAGGGTTTTTATCTTTTTAGGGTTCCGTGTGTTCCCTCTGCTTATTTTCCCTATAAATACCCCCCTTCTTTCTGCAGTTCGGGGCACCAATAATCATTCTCTCTCACCTTACACCAAAAATCATTCTCTTCTCCCTCTTTAACCTAATTTCTAGTTTCCTTATTCTTCCATAATAATTCCCCTAAGCACTCCAAGGAGTCTATACTTAACCCGAGGTTCCGTCCTTAAACCAAGGCGTGAAAGGTACAAATAACTGAGGGTTTGGACCAAATCAACTCTACTTTTTATTTAATTTAATTTTCATTTACTTTTTATTTTCATTGAAGTTACTAACAGTTTATTCATGATGTAACAATTCAAAGGAACGCGCAGAATGTGAGTAATTAATTAATTTAATTACTCTTATTTTTAATATTGCTAGTATCATGATTAGGGTTGTTATTATTATTATTATTTGATTTGACTCACGTTATTATTGTTAAATTGCTTCCAATATTAATGTTTGTTCTATTATATTTATTGATCACCATATTGCATGTTTAAAGGGAATATGTAATTGAAAATCACGCCTAATAAGATAATTTGGACAACCGGTTTAGGATCCTTTTAATCTTATTATTAATTGAAGTGATCACCAATATTTTAGAATTATGTGTGCATTAATCTTAAACCAATTTAGTTAAATAATGGTTTGGAGCGAATTGAATTATTGTTTGTATGCCTTTGAGATCACAGGAGTGCTTTTCAATATAAGAATAGAGTAGAGGTCAATACGGGCGAATGTGATTCCATGACTCACTTCGTACCATCATCCCCGATCCTCCTTTTGTGGTTCCGAACCATATGGAGTTAGTAATCTCATGGATTATGAATGGGGTGTAACCTTCACGGGTCAATCGTTGTTGCCTTCGTTGTCCCTTATTCGTGGTTGCCTTTTATGATCCGTGAACGGTTTACAAGTTCCTTAAAAACTTGTTGGCGGCTCCCTACTTTCCTTGTCCCTAACCGTGTCCCTAATCGTGTGTCAATTCCCACTTCCTATGAGTGCCAAGCATATTCACCACATGCTTTAACATAGGCGCACTTCGAGCGACGCCTACACTAGCCTCCCTCTTAAGTTTCTTTCTTCGATTCTTGGTAAACGAAGGAGGAAACTCCCAACAAGCAAGATAGTTAACCAAATAGGAAAACCATGGGAGCTCCTTCACATGTATAGAATACAAAAAATCATCCAACATTCTATCTTCTATAGAAGACCAATCATCTTGAACTTGAAAATCCTCAACTCTAGATGAATGATCTACATCCACATTTTCCGCTCCTTTTTTTTATCTCTAATTTCAAGATCAAAAGTTTGTAGCTCAAGCACCTAACGGATCAACCTTGGCTTCGATTCCTTCTTAGAAAAGAGATATTTTAGGGTCGCATGATCGGTGAAGACAATCGTCTTGGACCCTAACAAATAGCAACAAAAATTTTCAAGGGAATGAACAATTGCCAAAAACTCTTTCTCCATTGTTGTGTAATTCCTTTGAGCACCATTGAGGGTCTTTGACATGTAATAAATGACATGGAGTTTCTTATCAACTCTTTGACCCAACACTCCCCCAATGGCTGTATCACTAGCATCACACATCAACTCAAAAGGTAAATCCCATCTTGGGGCTTGGACAATGAGAGTAGAAATTAGAGCCTTATTCAATTTATTGAATGCTTCCAAACACTTATCATTAAATACAAACTTGGCATCTTTTTGAAGAAGATCATCGAGGGGATTTGAAATGAGTGAGAAATCATTGATGGATCTTCTATAACCCCGGCATGTCCTAAGAAAGATCTCACTCCTTTCACATTGGCCGGAGGTGAGACTTTTCAATAACCTCAATTTTTGCTTTGTCAACCTCTATACCCTTGTGAGAAATCTTATGGTCAAGGACTATGCCTTCCTCCACCATGAAGTGACACTTTTCCCAATTCAATACAAAGTTCACCTTCTCACACCTTGCTAGACATTTCTCAAGATTTTCAAGGCATGCCTCAAATGAAACACCACCTACGGAGAAGTCATCCATAAACACCTGCATCTCCTCCTCTAACATATCTCCAAATATACTCATTATGCATCTTTGAAATGTTGCCGGAGCATTACAAAGGCCAAACGGCATTCTCCTATAAGAAAATGTTCCATATGGACAAGTGAAGATTGTTTTCTCTTAGTCATCCGGGTGAATTGGGATTTGGAAAAATCCCGAATAACCATCAAGAAAACAATAGAACTTGTGCCTCGTTAGTCTCTCAAGCATTTGATCAATGAAAGGAAGGGGAAAATGATCTTTATTTGTAGATTTGTTTAGACGTCTGTAGTCTATACACATCCTCCATCCAG